CAATAGACATTCCATTGGATCCAGCCACCCGGGTAGTCATGTTCCAAACCCAAAAGTTCTGCAGCAGACTGAAATTCCTGGGTGGGAGCTACTAGGTTGGAGGCCATCGCTACTACAGGTTAGAGGCCATCCCTAGTAGGTTGGAGGCCGAGAAGCTTGTTGACCGAGCATCGTGCATCGAGGTCTTTCACAAGACGTGTATCGATGAATGGCTGCGGAGATGTACTGACTGCCCCATTTGCAAGGCTGGAGATTGGACCGTTGATGAAGGAGATGTCATCATAGTTTCAGTGCTATAGGGACATCTAGGGATATGGAAAGTTGATGAAAGTGGGGATGTCCCTCAAGCGTTAACTCCTAAAATTGGAATGCCAGAGTGTGGCCTCCAAGAGGATGTTTGTCGTAATGTTTTTCAACCAAATATTTGCCCAGCATCGAAGAAACATCGTCCGGACACAAGTCTCAGAAAGAGGTTTTGATGCTTGTGATGCCTTAAATATCCTTAAATTTTTTCTGCATCAGATCAGTTGCATTTCTAAGACACCCAAAGAACGATCATACAAGATCAGGCACACCCTTTCACCGACGAAAGGTTACCGGTGGATGTGTGTTTCGCGGGAACAAAGCTGCATCATCAGACTGTGCTCACGGCATTCAATGTGAGACAATCCTCCAACAGACTTCATTGATCTTCATTGCCTCTCCCCCAAGGGATAGCTTTGCTAGCACAGGAGACCACAAACCGGTGGATCAAAGAGTCGACCGGACCTACACCCTTTGGCCGTGTCACGTCATTTGTTCAGGCCAATGTCGACAGAGCCGTACGGAATTACTGAGGCCGTGCGTGCGGGGTTGGAGCTTGTGATGGGCGGTTGGGTGATGGCTTTAGGTCATGGCAGTGGGACCGGAAGGTCAAAAAGCAGAGAGAATGGACTACTTTAGCTCAACCTACCAGGGTGGGTTCGCTGCAAGCTGTTCATGGTCTGCATCGGCTGAGTTTGTTCAAGGGGTCCGCTGCTGGGATAGTCGTAGAAGACATTACCAGTTTGTAGATTTGGTAGGTTCTGCTCCGGGCCTTAAGTCATTCACTTTTCCTTTCTGGCGACCTTTGAGATCTTTGAGCAGGCGTAGGAGGTTGGCAAAACGACGGTGAGCGGCCTCTGATCGACTGGTTTCGCTTCGCTTGGGAGATGCACGAGGAAGACAAGAACAAAAGAGGAAGACGAAAGTCCACACAACCCAAGGAGGACCTCTTGAATCTACCCAAAATTGTATTTGTTCATATATTGGCAACGTAGAGGAACGCCTTTGGCAAAAGGTTGTTGGTTCAACAAGCCAAAGACCATCTCTCAGACCCTCTGACGCCACATGACGTAAAGCTACAGTAGCTGCCTTTTGAGTCAACAGTCTTTCTTAGAGACCCACTTCCCCCCAAAAGGGATCGGATCTGTGACAGGACCCTCCAAACCAGCATCCAGGTGTCTCCAATATTCTCCAATCACTTGGGTCTGTCCTATGACCTGTAAACAAATTGTCACTATTTTTGAACAAGGCCTGCAACCTAACCATCATCATCCACTGTTACTGGTGGTAGGCTCGCGGTGCGCAGTCACTGACCATTCGTCTTGGAGTGAAAACCACTCCATTATTAAATTGCAAAGCGGAACAAACATTCACTGTTACTGGTATACTAGTGATAGACCCAACTAATCACCTTCTTCTCTTGTTTGGAATTCATAGGGCTCTTTTCGGGCTCATCTTCGGAGCTCAAGCGAGCGCATAGGTCGCAGCCTGGTGCCAGTGCGAGCCACTGAGTGAGTTACTGTTCATGTAGACTGTTGATGAATCAACCCCATCCAAGATGCATACATGGAGATCGGAGATATCAATAGCCATTCTGCTTTGTTTGAGGATTCATGGTTTAGTGGGTGGTTTGTTCATCACCAGTCTATACCGTGACATCGCGGTTTCACCCGTGAAGCGGTCGGCGTCGTCCGCGTACGCTCGCTTCCGCCGCAAGCGCAAGCGTGTCGCTTCGGAGGGTCCGGGGGGGCCGGCGGAGTTGAGTAGATCCCACAGGGCCCAGAGCCATGGTATACCTAGATCTTCAGACCAATAGCAAAAATACACACATATATATATATATATAATACCCCTGGGCATATCCTCTATAAAATCAGGGGAGTCGTGTACAGAAATCAGGGGGGATTCTATAGAGAAAAGACGTTTTTTTCTATAAAATCAATAAGTAAAAATTCAAAAAATAAACAGTGAAACAGACTTTTTGGCATCGGCCAGACCTGTGTTCAGGGATTCTATAGGAAGCATTTTGGCAACCTGGGATCAGAATTTATAGAGAAATCAGCTTTGTCGAAGCAATGAGGCAACTGAATCTATAGGAAGAGCCTGGCCAGAAAAAGCTGGAATGTGAATTCTATAGAGGACTCATTTTATAGAATATATATTGCTTATCAAACACAGGAACTAGAATTCTATAGAGAGCAGAAGTGGACTATGGAGTTGAAAACTAGATTCTATAGAGAAGAAGGATTGTTGCTGAAATTTGAAGATGTTTTTTTTGCTTCGTCCAAAACCGCTGCTGTCAGGCCCTGATGGAAGCGCAAGAAAACAATTGAAAACTATGTGAAAAAAAGTCCGCACAGTTTTGCGATTCATGCATCTTTGAGGAAGCTGCAAACGTGTGCAAACTAAACTTCTCAGACAGAGCACGTGCAAACTTCTCAGGTGGCACAGGTTCCTTCTCGAGAGCTGCCCAAACCCATTTTCTGAATCATTTTTTTCTATAAAATCAGTGCTGTTGAGGTAGCACGGGTTCCACTTTGTTCTGTTTGATTCTGTGTTCCCCTGTTTGAAATCTGATTTTATAGCACTATAAAATCTTTAAAAAAAATGGGAACAGTGTCTCAGGGGGTACCTGTGCCACCAGCTTTTATAGAGTGACCACTTGTCCAGGCATGTTGTTTTAAGGATTCTATTAGTCACCAAATATCCACCCCAACCTGGTTCTTTCTATAAAATCTGGCCCCCAGCTCCTAGCCGAAATTCCCACAGGGATTATATATATATATATATGGGCCCGTGACGATTTGGGGGCCCCCTGTGAGATAAGATAATCATTATTTTCAAGTATGGTTTATAAACTAGCCTTATAGTTTATAAACCATATCTTCGCATACTTAGATAAGTCCGAGCCCATATATATATATAGATATGTTTGTCATGCCACACATATCTGTCATGCAACTCTGGTACATGGATACGTTTCATCTGCTTGTAGCTCACTAACTTCAATGTCTCTAATACATGATGACTGACCTGAGACCATCAACGCGATCAAGGAAGCCATCTGAGCATTGTCTGGCAAGAACCCTGAGAAAAAAAAAGTCTGTCTTGCTGCTGCTCCTCACAAGGGGCCCCCAAAACGTCCTCGTGTATATATATATATATATATTCAAATACTTAGACCAAGGGCTAATTAGACCAATAGAAACATATAAAGGTAAGAAGATATGTGATATATTCAACATTCTTCAACGGTTTTTTTGGGGTTCTCTTAGATCCTGTTGAATCTGCATCTGCCTGAGGCTGTTATGCTCTCGGAAGAAAGTCAACCTTCATGCGTTTTAGTCGCTTAACATGACATTACCAAGAACGACTCCGCACAATGTTTTCCGGAGCCACCCGCTTGCCTCGCAAAGCCAGTCCAATTGCACGGGCTGAAGAGAGGACCGGCTCTGACCGTCGATTAGAATCGATAAACGGCTCTGTGCGTGCGGGTGCGTGCGTGCAACATGGCTCTTTTTGAGGAGCGAGGAACTGTTGCAACTTCCTAAGGGTGTCCCCCGTGCGACATCTGGGGCGCCGACATTAGAGGTTGAACTCGACTGGAACTGAAGAGTATAGTATTTGGTAGACACTAGTACTGGGGATTCAGCTAAAAGGCCATAATGGCCCAAACACTTTACTGTTCCAGGATCCACTCTAGGTCATGTGGACAGGACCAATTCTCTCTCATGGGCTCCCTCTACGCCGGGCGTCACAAGGAACCCAGCACAGTCTCGCTTCGGACCTTCACAGCATTCCCTCTCCATAACTGTGAAGAGACAGCTGCGAGCGGGCTCCCCCAAACAAGAACCTACAAACTTCCCGGACTCCTCGACCATTTTCAAACATTTTGTTGGGCTCCTCGTACAGTAAGTCGTATGGGTCGTGTCTCGCATGGGACTTCAACGGCTTCACGACCACTTCCCGCTCCCCGGCGGCTCCAGACGCGTTAGTCGGGCGAGCCAATCGGGGCGGCGGTGACGCTGGTCTGCTGACGGAGGTGTTTTCCGAGTGGGGTGACGAGTGGAATGACTTTTGTTTCACGGCCACAGAACAGAGTATAAGTTATAAGTGAATTCAAAAGAGTAAACATAAATATTGATTGAGAAATCATACTCCTTGAATTCATTGAATTGCATAACAAGGTACATCGAAGGTATATATTGTCTTTTATTCTCTATGGACCGGTTTCATTGATGTTTTGTAATTGGTATGGACCGGTGGAGAGTCCTGGAGGATTCAAGAGGTCAGAGGTCCCTATTTTTGGTGGGCGTTCTAAGCAACATCTGAGGCTTGCAATACGTAACAGCTTTAGATTGTTTGTTGTACCTTAGGGCTCCTGTCCTACCTCCTGAAAAGGTTGCCACTGGGGTGGGTGCTAGAGGGGTCTGTGCCCGCCTTCTTCTCGGATATGGAACAGGAGCCCTAGGCTAGGGGTGATCAACATGTATTTGAACAATTTAGAAGGAACAATTCTCACTGCCTCATCCCACTATCTCATTGCCTGATTCCCACTATCTCACTGCCTGGTTCCCACTATCTCACTGCCTGGTTCCCACTATCTCACTGCTTGATTCCCACTAAACACAGACAGACTAGCTTGCCCATGTGCCAATGTGACGTGCGTGGCATCCCTTGACAGGGCGAAGTCGAGGATGTCAGGCACGAACTGAACTCGGTCCTTCGTGTCGGTCGGGTCGGTCGTGTCCTTCGCGTCGGGCGGACGATCTCTTCTTCGCAAGAAAGCTTGGAGGCCATCGCTTTTCTAGTGACCATTTTGGGAGCCTTCTAGTCACTCTAGTCACCTCACAAGAAAGCTTGCGGGTGCACGCGCTACCAGACGTCGACATCAGACGTCGCTGTTGCCAGCATGCAAGCACAACGTCGTGTGGGTCGTGGTGGGTCTCGAGGTGTCCAGAACGTGACTGTGATGTTTGTTCTGAAGCGAGTGTCTAACCATCTGGATCTACTGCCACCTTAGCAATTGGACCCTTTCAAGACAGCCTATAGTCATACCAGACTCCTTCTGAGAAGGTATGTGGATCCATTGGGTAAATTGGACCGTGAGTCTCGAGTTTGTTGTGTTTTGGGACGACAACCTGGCGCGGGTTAAGCCGCCCACAGCGCACACACCTATGCAGAAAAGAGATCCCCGAGGCCCTGCTCGGGATTCCCAACAAGCTGCCCTAGAGGATCACCACCGGGTGGCTCCGGCCTAGAATAACTTTGTTTAGCTTGCGCTTTGCAAAGGCTCTCACGGATCTGTGCGCATTGTTTGAGTCGGGCTTCATCCACTCCAGCTGGACCCCATCCCAACCGATCCCGCTTCGATGGCGCCCGCGAACTCGCGGGATCTGTGTCCATTCCGGTCTGTGTCCATTGGGCGTACAACAGGATCATCCAAAGGGCAATCTCAATCGGTCCATTCATCTCTAAAATATTTTTCAGGTAATGTACATTTGTATATACAATTGCAATGTACTGTATATATACAGATACTCTGCAGAGCTGTAATGTACTGTGGCAAGCCTCATCTACTGCATCTGGCAGCTCCGTTCGCACTTCTTCTTCTTCTTCTTGTTTTTTTTAATGGATGAAGAAGGAAGGACTGGTGATGACTGCCTGTTGTTCCTGACACTTGACACCTCCAGGTCGACCCGACCGGGTTTGATCACTGGTCCGCTCCGCCCAATCCTCCGCCAGATTTGGATGTCATCGCCCAGTCATGGCCTGGAGCCAGGGCCGAAAACCTCAGGGACATGTTCTCGTGGCGAACCGAAGACAGCAGTGAACAAAAGACGAGTGTGGAGAGGGAGCTTTGCAAGCTTCTCTTATTCTTCGGTTGCTTGAGCTTGAAGAAACCACCCAAAAAATCCTTTGAACCGCTCCAGTTCGCGGGAGTCTGGACCCTCCAAACTCCTTCCATTGACTTCGGACCTACTTCGTCGACCGAAAAGAAGGGCGGCAAGAAGACCCGCCCGGACAGACACTCGATGTGACATGGAAAATGTCTAGATCTGCCTACCTGGACCCATGAAATCACCCAACATAGGTATATATCTATGCCATAATGGTACTGGACTACTGTAATTATTTGTACTGGACATTCCTGGACTATTTACTTATAGATTGACCGTTCACCCGTTGACCTTCACCCCACCCCCTACCCCCCGCTCCGGCCGTCGCGACCCGAGGCGCCGCGGTCGCTGCTGCGGCCGGTGCCGCCCGCGCCGCAGGTTCGACCCCTCGAGGTGGAGTGCATGGCCCGGAACGCCCAGGTCAGGTGGGAGCGGGCTCCAAGAGAGATTGAGAGACCATATAGATGGGCTATAAGGTCTCTCAACCTCAGATGAGCTATATACCCTGTAGTGATACATATAAGATATAAGGCTATTGAACCTCTCTTGGTAGGGCGGGCTTCAGCGGCACCACGTGGCAACACGGGGGGAGCTTGGGGGGGGGCGCAATGGCTGGGTGAAGAGACCCCGGAGGCCACGGTTGCCACGGTGGCCGGTGTGTGAATGAATGCGTTGGCAGTAAGTACACCATGCGACGTGGATTTGTTTCACCCACAGCTACATTCATGTATACGGCCTCAGTGATTCAGCATGTATTGAAGATTGGATGAACTTGAGAGTCCAAGGAAGGCACGCAACACCTTTGTTATATAAAAAGCACCAACACCATTGAACCCACTGGGATGGGATGTGTTTTCTTCTCGTTTTCTCACACTTCTTCCGTCCGCCTCAACGCATCCGAGCCGGCAGCCGAGCCGGCATGGCCGAGCGGCGCATCCTGAGGCTTCACCGTTGCTTTTGCCAGCAGTCACCCACTGAGACGACTGAGAACTGTGACTAAGTGGAAGGAATATGACAGCTATGACAAGTGCTGGAACTCATTGGATCCATTTGGCCAGAGATGTGAGACCGAAGAGGCCTCTTCCAACCATCCCACCCCTCTAATCATGGACGGGTCATCTTGGACATTTCGGGTCAGTTGGGGGATGAAAAGCACCTTTTTGGTGCACCCACTCATAGCACTACAATAGTCTACAGTCAGTCACTATGGTTCTTTTTGGGCTCAAATGTTACTGACCGGTGTGATTTTGTCCGGAGGCCTTGGACTTGGAGAACCTCCGCTGCGATTCCGACCCTGAGGCGCGATGACCATGCGGTTCATGCGTGTTGGTTCAAGGGCGGAGGTATGCCGGCTATATAGTGGAAGCACTTTTTCACCAGGAAGCACACACAGGAGGACATGAGCACAAAGATGAGGAGGTTGGATGGTCAATGTTCCTGATTCTCATCTTCTCATCACTTCCCAGACACTTTATTATGGGACTGGCAGTCCGACACGGCTCCATTCACCCCTTTTCAACCACCTTCACTGATCGGTACATATGGCTACCTCGCCATGTTTCGTGTCTGGGAATTGATGTGATCTGGCCCAATGTGCGCGTGTAGCTAGCTACGCCAGGCGAAGCGGCCTGCCTCACCTTCGCTTTTGAGCACAGGCGTGGAGATAGACCTGGCCTCCACAGGGCCCGCCCACAGGATGTCTGGCCCTGTCGCTGGGATGTTTGGCCCTGTGGATCCAGCCTTAGGCAAAGACAGTAGAAGCGTCCTGGTTGGATCCAACCACCGATTTGGGATCCGCACAGCTATACAGCAGAAGCGTAATTGGCGTCTCCACAACCCATGTTGAATGTCGGGCTCCAAGAAGCAAAGGAAAGAAGGACGCTTTGATCAATTTGATGCTCACACCATGCACACCCTGCGCCGTGAAGGTGTCCTTTGTGTCAGATCAGATTGACATGACATGTTCTGCGCGTGCGTCCTTCCACAACGAGGCCGAAACCGGGGTTCCCGCACCAGCCCGCACCAAGTCCTGCGTCGCAGGTCTCGAGGATAGCGAGGCCAAGAGAGGGAAGAAATGAGGTTGTCTGGGCTGTATTTCTGAGTCCAAACTGAAAAGACTGTGAAATATGGCACCAAGCAGTCTATGAGTCTATGAATAGTTTGGTGTCATAGACTTTTTAGATGTTCATGTGATTCATCAACTACTGGTCCAGTTCATGTGCGATCCAAAATCACAATAAATGTTTGTTTGACGTTGCTACTCTTGAAGCTCTTGAAGGGGATGATGCTCGCAAGACCTGGCATGCCAAAGGGTAGGAAGGGTCTCAGCATCTTCTGCGTTCTGTGAATGTCGACCTGATATATTGACTTTGCTGACGTAATGTAGATTCTTAAATAAATAAAACACCCTCATTTGCATTGTAAAATTATGGGGGCTTAAAACATTGGCAACAGCCAACATTCATTTCTGGCCTGGAACTGTTGTGATGTTCGGGTCAACACTCCAGTGCCCAGGAAGATCCTTCCTTTGTTGATGTGTGATTGTTTTGCGTGTCAGGGCGAGGAGAGGGAAGACATTCTGCACCTTGGACTGCAAAAGCTTAGCTTGCCACTGGCTTGGGATTTGGGCCATCTCTTGTGTGATCTGATGTGGGTGTGTTGTTTTTCCATGTTCCCAGGAAACCCATCAAAAACCTGTGAAGCCCTATGACATCATCACTCGGGTTTCAGAAGCAAACGCGCTGTGACCACCTTAAAACCACCTCCTGGACGTTTCAGACGTTGTGATGGCCGGTTCCGTTGTTGATGGGCGCGCGCTTGGCGCCTGTGGTGATCGATGCTGCCGCAGCTGTTGATGTGCTCAGCATGAAGCCGCGGCGTCCCGAACCGCTCCGCCGCTCCGCCGGTTCCGCTCCGCGGTCGCTCCGCCTCGTGCGCGGTCAGTGTCATGGGCGGTCGCCTGGGGCTGGGACGACAGGAGGAGCAGGCGGGCACGGCGCGTCCGGCTGGTGCAGCGCGTTGTCACGCAGCTTTTGGGGCTGAGGGCACCCTGAGGATCTGGATTTGGGATATTTGGGCCACCGTGATTTACACTGAAGTGCTTATAGTGATTTAAGCCTTGAGCTTGAAATCACGGAGAGGATTTGTATACAGGGTTGATGATTCACATCCTCACCTACTATTATGTAATAATTTGGAACCGTGGCATCCATCAAAGCTTCTGACATTCAAAAAGGGCCCTTGGTAACCCTGAACTTGCTTTGGTCTAGAGTCTACTCACCCATCATTGGAGAAAAACATTACCCCCTTGGTAACCACAGCAAGAAATCCTTTTTTGGGGAGGGCAGTCCACACGGACGGAGGTTGGATTTGACACCAGTCTGGAGTGAAGATCTGCCGTTCAAGCTAGGTGGATGGCTCCACGATTCAGAACATCGCCTACCAATATGCGCCCAACTGGGAATGGCAAGGAGATGATGGCATCTATGTGCCCTACGAGTCTTCCGTCGCCCTGAAGTTGGAGAAGGTGCCGCTCGGGGGTGTGGAAGGTCCAAAACTGAGGAAGATTAATGAACCCTAGGGCTCCTGTCCCACCTGCTGAGAAGATGGTTGGGGTGGGTGTCAGGCCAGGGGGGGCTAATCACCTCTAATCACCTTCGTTTCGGATATGGATGGAGCTCTAATTACGGGAAGATCAAGAACTGGCACCACATGGTGGGATCCTAACTTCACCCCCGCCCTCACAGTACACCGCCACCCTCTTCACCGTCTACGCCGTGAGGCCCGCCGGCTGGCCTCAGGGGCGGCTATCGCCCGTACGCCTCGGTCGTCGCGATCGCCAGGCACATTCCAAGATGAAGGAGAACAGCGTGGACCGCGTCGCAGTGGGCCCAGTGCCTTTGGAGAGCAACGCCAAGTGCGCCACCCCGAGTGTGGGACGGACAAGCGGTCGTCGGAAGTGCGAGGTGTCCAACTTCTTCGGTTCTCTTTTGGGGTTGGAAGACCAACAGATCATGTAGGAAGCTAAGTTGTGAAAAAAAGCTGCCGGGTAGGAAACGCGCTCTTTCGGAAACGCGCGAAAACGCACTGAAAACGCAAGTACTGAAAACGCAGGTCAACATCAAGAAGAAACGCGCTTTTGGCTTTGGCCACACCAATAGACCAAAATGCTTTTATCGGATTTGGATAAATGCCATTTGGGTGGTCTATGGACCATGTTCAAACATTCTATGGAACATGTCCAAACATTTGGGTGGTCTATGGACCATGGTGTAAAAGCATTGGAAAAAGCATTCTGGATGGACCATTTCCGACACACACACACACACACACACACTCCCCCTTGCTTGGCACAAAGGAGATTTGGTTTATGAAGCATTTTGCTTTTTTTGCAGCTGGGAAAAAGCATTTTGGGTGGACCATTTCCCACACAGAGTCTCCCTCTCTTCTGTCGCAAAGAGATTCCCTTTTTGGGGGCTGGTTTCCTCGTGCGGGGCTGGAGCAGTAAGCCGCACCCACCACACGACAGCATTTCTTGGTGGGGGCGCTTGCCTCCCCGCTAAGAGGAACCGTAAGACCAGCCCAGTATTCTCTCTCTCTCTCTCGATTGGTGGCATGAAGGAGATTCGGCTGATGATGCCTTTTGTTTTTTTTTGCAGTTGGGAAAAAAGCATTTTGAATGGACCATTTCCTACACACACACACACTCTCTCTCCCTTACTTGGCACAAAGAAGATTCGGCTTATGCGGCATTTTGTTTTTTTTGCAATTGGGAAAAAGCATTTTGGATGGACCATATCCGACAAACACACACACACACTCTCCCTGGCTTGGCGCAAAGGAGATTCGGCGTATGAAGCATTTTGTTTTTTTGCGCTCTGCCAGCCCCATAGGAAACGCACAGAAAACGCACCTATGGAAAACGCGACCCCAAAATGTACAAAGCGCACTGAAAACGCACTGAAAACGCAGCTATCGAAAACGCGTCGGGCACCTCAACTTAGGTAGGAAGTGCTAGTCAGAGCATGCTCTTGAGCTAGTCGAATGGACTTAAGACCTCAAAAGACCATGTCATGTTTCCATCTTGTTTTGTTTCCAATTTTTTTGTCCATCCTTCTTTGCTTGCTTTCCCTCCCATTCTTCACCTGGTCACCCCCCTCAGTTTGGCTGCCCAGGGCACCGTGGACGTCCGTGCCATGGTGCAGGAGACACCGGCACCGGCCGACGGAGCAAACGCCCTAAGCGTCCCGGTGGCACGGCGGAAGGTGCGGCGGAAGACGCGGGAGGAGGCGAAGCGCGGCCTGGCGGAGCCCAGTTGGATCCATCAGGAGGAGGAGGTGCGAAGTGGAGGGACTGGGACCTCCCAGTGTTGGAGGCTAGAAGGGGCTCTAGCCGGAAGCCCCTGGAGGGAGTGGGAGCGGCCGGCTTACGTTCTGTTGGCTTATGTTCTGTTCATTGAACCGGTGGTCAACCAGGGTCCATCGGTTTTGACGAAGCAACCAGATGGGAATACCCTGGGTCTAGCTGGGGGAGATGGAAAGCTTGGGCTGGGGAGAGATCGAAAGCTTGGGTGAGTGGTTGGAGAGTTGGATGCAATTGATTGGCAGCTCATGACTTGGCCCCTAGAAAGATCTAAGATGCTCGGATGCTGCGAGCAGCGGAGTGGGTGTCTTTTTCAGCGAGCTTCTTCAACCTGCCGCCGTGCTTTGGTGCTTTGATGTGCCGGATGTGCTTGGACCAGAAGAGGTTGACAATATGGTTGACATATGTTGACATACCATATCCATCCTACAGCCACGGTAGAGCCACTGAGCTCTTCAATGAGCGGGTGCGCTTTTTTTTTTGCGTGTTTTCTTTCTCTTCTTCTGAAGCCACGTGCGGGCTGACCGGTTGCGGTTTCCGGTTTCCATCCGGTTTTGGATCGATTCAGGTAGATGTTTTCCACTCTGGAGCGAGAACCATCTGCAGGTGATTATTGCTGAGGTGGAAGCCGAGCATGCTGAGGCGCCCGGGGTGGCTGGTACTCAAACGTGAGTGACGTGATGAAGACATCGGATGCAAATAGTTTGGGGCAACAATATGGCCTGCAGAGTTGCGGAAGACAAGAGTTTCTGACAAAGATAGCACATAATAGCACCCTGACAATTTGACATGACTCATTCATCATCAGATTTGGGAAGCTTGTTGAGATGGAGACCATCTTCTCCACTCAGGCAGAGCTTGTCAGGAAGAACTTCTTTGGCGAAGGAGGTTTGGACTCGCAGCAGTGGGGTATCGTCTCCATACAACGCGTCCAGATGCTCACCCGAACGAGCCCGAACGAAGCGCTCGCCCGAACGAGCTACTGGAGCTGGTTGGGCGAAGAATCGTCGCAAAGCCTAGACTTGAGGAGTTGCTTTGCTTGCGGCAGATGGGGTCAAGGGTTCAGAAGGGGTCGCTCAGGAACCAACCCCTTCGCGAAGCTTATTGCATCGAGAAGCAGCTCATGCTGCGGGAGCGAGGGGACGAGCAACTCAACGAGCAGCTTCTGTTGCATGGCAACTTGGCCCCAGAGTCTGGGGGCACCGGGACAGGCCAAGAACACAAGAACAATTGACAGTTCTAGAGCAAGTTGGATTGGAGAGAGGAGAGCTCGAAAAGTATGGCATGCATAAATGTCAAATGACCGGTCCTTGGTCCTTCCAGTCAGATCTTCTCAAGAATTCATGCGTCCTCCGCGACCTCGCCGAAGGCACCCGGAGCTCAGATCCACAGTCGATCATCGAAGACCGTGATGGCTTCATGGTGGAGAAAGGCGCGCGGGGTCCATTGGCCCGTACGGTGTGGAGTCAACGAGTGTTGATTAGGTTTGGAGTTAGGCTTGAAGTTTTCGGAGTCCTATAGGGTTTTGGTTTTGGAGTGATCCTCAAGTAGATACATCAGTTGGTGCATGTACAGGGCCTTGCATTTGGTCGTGTCCAAACCACAGAGATCGTGTGAGTATTGGTACTAACAGCACCCAGCTATATGGAACAAACTACATCACGTATTTCCCATACGTGAATGTGAACCCACCAAAAGAACAAGAAGGATGCAAAAAGGATGTACCATGATGCACCCCACAAAATGGCACTAACATGGGACAACCAAAAACCATGTCATGAAATCATCTAATCCCACGTCGAGCTGCGTCCTGCGTCCTGCGTCTTTTGCCGCCTCCAATCCCATCCGACGTGAACTCCTCGCGGGACCGTCCGTAGAGGTGCGGAGCGAGCCTTCTATGGGCAGGGCTGTTACTTCGCGGAACTCGCGCAGCACCTCGGTGGGTTCGGTGTCATGGTTGGGACAGGGTGGGACTGTGGTTCGTAAGATGGCAGGTGTTCAATATATATATATAGCATGATATAGCTATATATAGCTATATAGAATTCTATATAACTATAATGGCCATGTAACAATGTAAATATACAATTATATTAAATGTTGCTTTGAACGTACTTTTTGTGTGAATAAATTAGTGGACAATGGAGAGTAGCCATCCAATAAGAGGTAGTATTGGTGCAGAGAGTCAAAGCCTGTGCATTTCGCCGTTGTGCGTTTTGTATTACTCGTACATACTCGTACTAACGTTTAGCCTTTAACTTAGCCTCATGCTTCATGCTCTCATGCCTCCAGCAGTCGAGGTACGCACACCACTACAGCTACGGTGCTCAGGGCAGCCACCAACTGCTGTTCGTTGATGTGCTTTGTGGGATTGTGCCTTGACGGATCGGTTCGAATGGACGTCTGACACGCAGTGGCATCCCACCACGCATGCAGTCCACGGCGCAGTGGAAGTTCCATGTCCACGAACCCTGCTTTCCACATCGTCCAACTCTTGGAGGCTGTCCAACTCTTGGAGGTTGTCCAACTCTTGGAGGTCCATTCTTTTAGGCATGTGACCATGTGGCCCTGATCCGCCCGGTTAGAGACCAGGCCCAGTCGTCGGTGTTTTCTTTCGGTGAGTCTCACTCAGCCCGGCCCGGGGCCCCGGGATGAAGGTATACATACCACACCCAGACCATCGTATGGAATAGTTTTATATACACTTACCCCATGAAAAACGACCCCAATGTAGGAAACTATTCTATGCATAGATTCTTTGGGACAGACTCTCTTCACATCTCTTCAGATCCTCCTCCGTTGGAACGGGACACGACTCCGAAGCGACGACTCCGCGAGTCAAGCCGAGCGGCGCGGGGGAGCGCGGACCACGAGACGCGAAGAGACGAGGTCTACGAGATGGGTGAGGAGCTGCTCGGTGGCCAAAACTCGATCGATGGCCTGACTGACTTGGTATTGGTACACTTTGACGAACACCTCACATGGAAGTGGTGGTTTGGTGGATGGCTGTTTGTAGAGGACAGTGTAGTCTTCCGGGGTCACATGCCACTCACTTCCAAGTGAGGTGTTCGTCAAAGTTTGTTGGTTTGTGAACTGGTCAGTTGAGGGTCCTGGCATCGACCCCTCTATGATTCCCAAGTCAGGACATCATTGCTCTTTGAGTCGCACCTGCTACTTTGGTGTTTGGGTCGGGACAGCAAGAAGGACATGCAAAAAGTGACTCGAGAGGAGCTGGGATGGTGACTTTTCGTGGGTTGTTTGACACATGATACTGATCCGGATCGTGCGGAGACGAACAGCAAGGTAATCCCAAGGACGACGTTTCTCGACGAAAAGACGTGCTGGAACGCTCCATGTCGTAGTTTTCTAAGGTCTGTAGAATAGAACGATCAACAATTCAGCCGCAAACAGAAGATTCAGACGTAGAAGGCAGCACTATTGTTAGTGATAGTGGAGTGCATTTTAGATGGATTCCCGCATCACCTTGAATCACCTTGAAGGTGTTTTCTTTTTTTCAAATCTTTGCCTTTTGAACATGATTCCGAAAGCATTGGGCTTCCACCAGTCGATGACCGGCATGGCCCAGGGATCGCTTCGAATCCCCTAAGCCAAGTGATGACTAGGCCGCCCTGGCCCCATCTAACGCTCTTTGACGTTTGAAAAAGGATACCAGACACGACTGGTGGGGCTGGACTCTTTACCTACATTGACCCCCTTTTCAATCTTGACCCCTTTTTCAATCAATATAGGCATGTGTTCCATTCATGGAATGTTTGGGATATGAAGATCATATGAATTCTCCAAGCTATGCAGTCCCTCCATGCCGACCATGACCAGCATCCATGCCGACCATGACCAGCATCCATGCCGACCTCAGGCTAGATCGTGCTGGCACCAAGTGCAATCGTGCGTGGCTACGCAGCAATGGCGCCTCGGTGAGCAATGGCTTGAGGCTTGCAGGTGAGCCAGGCTTTCTTGATACATGTCTATAGACATGTTTGGACTTTCACCACTTCACATACCTACAAAAACCTTAAAATGACCCAACAACATGCCCCGGTCTGAATCTAGAGTCGAGAATCGCTGGAGACCGGACTTTTTATCGACCTGCTCCGTGCTGAGGCTACGACAGCGTATGTGGCGGACCACATCAACCGAATCAGAAGGGGCCCGGCGCGAACCACTCGCGGCTCCATGTGGTCTACCGTGCCAATCAGACGTATCCGCGCTTCCTGGTGACCCTCAGTGAAGTGATGAGGTTGACGCGGTCAAACTGCTGTGCACATCGGGTGCATTTTCATGGGTTGTTCTTTAGCAGCAGACCACTCAATCTTGGATTCTGACAACACTCACCCGTCACCCATGTTGACCTTCCCAAAAGGTTGAAAACTGATCGGCCCACCTCGAGCAGCGGAAGTCATGATTTAAAAATCAGGCCATCTATGTCCGTTTGAAGGAATTTAAAATTATTTGGCTTTTGTTTTTGATTTATAGACGAGAATTAACCTGATGAACCGTACCCACTTTATATCGATTTACATAAATATACATGGTAAATACATGTAAATACATCTCGCATATTATTAAACATAACGCACCTCCTGCCTGCCCTCATTAAAAGACACATCTGCTTTGTCACCTCAGGACCTACAAGTCCATCGTCCCTCGCGCCTTACTCAGCGCTCGTGCACCCTGCCGTAAGCGGACCAGCACCAGCGGCCGGACGAGCCTGGCACCGCCAAAAGCGCCCAGCATGCGCTTTACGCCTGCGGATGTGAAGGCCAGCGGATAGGCGAAATGAGGTGAAGATAGATGAAGCGTGGATTGACAATGAGGCTCAAGTGTGTAGATTTGTTGGAAGATATCTAAGATACTTGCTATGCCGCATGCTGCTGCTTACTTCTTGCATGAATGTTACACCTTGTCAAGACCAGGCTGGAAATAGTTTGTCTTTGACTCTTTGGGGACCACTATCTGGGTAATTTGGTAGTATTGATGCTTTTTCTATAGGGTTGATCCTTCAAAAGTGGGTTGGAATGGCTTGCACATCAGGTATTCCGATTGAACTCCAAACTTCTGCCTTTTCTAGCAGCCAAGGCCCCAGAACAACGGCTTCTGTTGTTTGATGTTTGCGGTTTATCGGCGGGACACAGGTGAGCCATCATGAGCAGATCTTGGCGGTGGCCTGGCTAGAGGATCAACTGTGCCACTTGGAAAGCACCGGGGTCCCGCCGGGGCCCCGCCGGGATCCGGCACGTCGCGACAGGTCTGTCGCAGACTGTGGCTGCTCACGTCGGTCCAAGAGCTGGGATGCTTGGAAGCGACTACGGCTTACATATATCCAAGCTCCTCACTAGCGGCTGCAGCTTCACAGTGCTGAGATAGAACTTAGAACATGTAACATGTCTTAGATAAGTCGGTGGCATATCATAGTTGATCAATCCACATATAATATACCTTTTGACATGGTGATTGGAGACAATATATGTAGCTTTGGAGGGCCCAAATTCTTTCTGAGAAGGTATGTGGATCCATAGGGATTGATCAATCACTCCTGCCAAGGCTTACAGACCACTCCTTGCAGACGACGATTGTTTCACCCAAGTTTGCTTGGCCTAGACTGGCCGTTCGTAGTTGGAAATAGTTGGAATCTTGCTCTTGACAAGCCAACCACCTAACATCCGGTGTTCAGAGTTTCAGAAATATCAAAAAACAAAGCTTTCCAGCACCCCAGACCCCATTTGTCGGCTCCCCGCTGTCTTCCATCGCCTTTGATCGCTCCCAACGGTGTCTCCTTTTGAGGCTTAGCCACCGTGTCGGCGGTGCTGTGGGACTGCAGTGCTGGGATACGCCTGGAGCTGCCGTACCGCGGATGCGTTTGAGAGCAATTGATCCAGAACGCTTGGGTGAGACAAGGGAAAGAAGCGCCCAAGTTTGAACAGTGACACGAGGCTCCAGCCATTGATCAATCAGTTTGATGTTGGTTGGAATCCCTTGTTTGGTTCTATGCATGCTTCCAATGTTTCCAGGGAATGGGGCATTTCATGTATTTGTTTTGCAGCGTGGACGCACAGCAGACCAAAGCAAGCTAACCCACCAACCCACCAACCAATCGAAGCAACAAAGCGCCAGGCACGCGGCCCAGCGGGCGGCCTGGAGCGCTTCTGGACAACTGGCCCTGGCGCAGAAGAACCGCAGGCCGCCTGAAACGTTCAGAAGGGTCGGTAGGAGTGTTTGGAGGTCGGGTGAGGAACTGGTGGAGAGTAGATGGACCATCTCGGTCAGAACCGACTCTTGATTATCCCAGGCGATCGACTCTTGGATGGACCATCCTGTTTGAAGTCCTGTCTGGAGAAGGGTCGTAGTGGGCCGCGTCCAGCCAGGCCTTCATTGTAGCCCGAGACCGAAGTCGGGTGCGAGACGATTTCGACCGGAGTCGGATCCCAGATGAGAGAATCAGCCCGACGTCGGATCCTGAATCAGCCCAGTTCGCTTTCACACGAATGTTGGAACTGGTTCGTGGAGCTTTCAGCACGGATCTTTTTGGCTTTCACACGTTGATATTTCATATCCAAATATGGACGTACACTGCGTGCTCTTGCAAGTGAGCACCCATCGGTCGGGGGACAAAGTTGGCCCGAAAAGGCCTGACATAGATTGGGCAGTTGGTTTCTTCATATTTGTGATCTTCTTTCCCTCAACCCGCCCACGTCGAAGGCTACTGCTGCTGGACGCGTTTTGTGAGCAAATACCCATAGCATCCGAACACCCATCGCTCATCCAGTCACTGTGCTGGTGCGGTGAGGAGATGCTTTTCCGAAACAGGGCGCTCGATGTTTGTTGTTCAGCTCCTGAGCGGATGTGGAATCATTCATGAGGGTTTACGGTTTGAAAGAAGTGAAAAATGGAAGAAGACATGAAGAATCATGAAGCAACATGAAGCAACGAAACCTTATAAAGTCTGGGTACCGGTGGGTTTGAGAAGAAACGGGGTTTGCTGAGTCATCGTGTTGCTTGTCTTCCTTTGTTTTGGTCTGATAAACCCTGCGAGGACCTTCTAGCGACAGGGTCCAAAGACAGCAAGGTACGCATCTTCACGGCTGCTTGGAACTCGAAAGGGAGAGGCTCCAATTCTCTCTTGTGTGCTCCAGTGATGCAGCATTGGGACAGCAACTGATGTTTTTCATTTAGTACGGTAACGATTTTTAAATATATGGTGGCCTGGCCAGAGCAATCGGCCCCGGAGGTAGTCTAAAATACCTGTTCCATCCTGTTCCCACCTTGTATTTAAAGGGTCTGGCCAGGCCCCGTATATTTAAAATGTAGACGGATCCCTGTTGACATTTCTTCTACAAAAAGGGAGAGCTTGAGGCCCTTACAGAGAGGCCATGGTGTAACGAGGCAGTTTTTGGCACCTACAGAACCCAATTTTTTGTAGAGAAATAACTTTGCTTTCTGCCCAGCAACTAGGTCGATCTAGCTTTTCAAACCCTCTCACAGGAAGTAGAACTCATCAAGGACTCTTACTACTTTCAGTAGACCGCCGGATCCAAGACCAAGACCACCAAGGCCACCGGGACCCCCAAGACCACGGAGACTACCAAGACCGGACCACCAAGACCACCAAGGCCACCCCAAGACCACCAAGAGTAGACCGCCACAATCACCACCAAGACCACCAAGACAACCTAGACCACCACCACCAAGGCCACCGGGACCTCCAAGACCACCAAGAGCACTACCAACACCGCCTAGACCGCCACAATCACCACCAAGACCACCGGGACCACCAAGACCACCTAGACCACGGAGACCACCAAGACGAGGCCCACCGAAACCTCCAAGATCACCAAGAGCACCTCCAACACCCCACATGAATAGAGAGCTTAGTCCCAAATAGACTCCGCCGGAAATATGTAATTAAACTGACCGTATATTTAAATCGTATATTCATTCCGTATGTTTAAAGGGTCTGGCCGGGCTGGCAAAAACCTTGCCGGAGGTAGTCTAAAATACCTGTTCACCTGTTTAAAAAATCGTATTTTTAAAAACGCGATACCGTACTAGTAGATGTGCGGCTGGAAGGCAGGTTGGCTTTGCGAGAAAAACAGGCTACTGCAAGGCTGCATGGCAGATTTGAGTGGTTGCTGTCAGCTTCCAAAATTGAAAGCAAATATTTAGGCGAGTGTTATATAGTTTAATGGTCAGGGTCAGTTGGAGGAGAGGTGCCGATTCGGAGCTGCCACTGCTTGTTTTTAGACATGGCCGGTCTTTGGGCCACCCAACTTGAACAGTCAAACAGAAGACTCGGAGAGCTGCTCGAAGTCCAATTCTTGTGTAGGCAGTAGGCAATTGCCCTTTTTCACATCCCCAAAGCCGTCCAAAACAAAAGTGACCCAAGTTGCCAAGACCAAACCATGCAAAGAAGAAGCCTCAAGAAGTGCCGTGACGCTTTGAGGCTGAATCCAAAGAGAAGCTCCATGAGTACACCCACAGCTCTCCGGTGCTGTCGATGGCCTTTGCTCCATGCGGCCGTCCGACACTGGCCGTTGGCGGATCGGACGGAAAGCTTTGCAGCTCGGGTTGCGGGTTGCGGGTCCGAGCGGATCGGGGGGGTCGGTCAGTCCGCGGTGCCCAGAAGAACAGTCAAGATCTGCCAAGGGAAGATGAACCTGGCATTTTCCATCCCCCTTCGAATGGGGTGGCACCATCTAGGAATTCGGGGCCCAGGGGGGGCGGGGCGGAGAGGTTTGGAGGGTTAGTGACATTTCTGCGCTTCTCGGGTTTTTCTGCGTGGTGGGGCATTTGACTGATGAAGGCTATGAAGAAATCAAGAAGAACTTGTATCACCCTTTCAGGCTTCGGATCTATGCAAATCCACAAGCACAAGCATGTTCATCCAGTGGGCCAAGAGAGACTTTCGTTCCAGGTCTTCTTTCAACGAACAGCGGAACTCCTGAGCGAAGCTTGGCGCCGATTTCCACAGGGAAAGGAGGGTTCGGGAGGTTTTCTCTGAAAGACACTGTGTCCAATACCAAGATATACCAAGCAGTTTTGGTTTTCACTTGTGCCTTTGACACTGCTTTGGCTGGATTTTTTCGCTGACGGCAGCACTGACCAGTCCGGGCCGGGCCCGTCCCAGGCATCGTCGAGCTTGGCAACTGGCTCACAGCGCTGGCACCGCGGTGGAGATTGGCCGAACCGATCGGGGCGGCCAATGGTTGACTGCCCAAGACCGGCCACATCCGACCACAGCGGTCCAATTGGATGTACGTGTCCCAAAAAAGCGAGGTTGTATAGGAAGCTTCATGATATACCTGTAATACCGTCGACCCTTTTTGCCGTGTGTGGACGGATAACTGGTGACTTTCAACTGGTTACTGCCAAAAACGCCTTCCCAACAAAATTGGGGTTGTTGTAGGAGTCCAGATTCTTGAAGCCTGGTCTGCTGCGTCATGGAACCGCACATCGAACTGCCTTTTGTAGTTTGTGTTAATCACAAGTGTCGACATGAGTTGCAAGTCCCATTCTTTTGAAACACCTCACATGGTTGTGGACGATGTTATGAGAATTTCTCGAAGTAATGCCTTCATCCGTTGGTGCTTTGCTTCCTGAAACAGGCTTGGAGTGCAAATGGGGAGAGACTGGCTGCTGGCTGCGATGATGGCAAGGTCCATATTTTCAGATCAGGCCGGCTGAACAAGTTTTTTGGGCTTGAGAAGTTAGCTGAGAAACACGCAATAATTAGGATGAAACTTGCATGTAATTTTGCTGTGTGAGTATTTACAAAGGAGATTTCTGGCATTTTGAAGCTATTTGGATCTATCTTCTCTTTTAGGGAGTACTTGGACATTTTCAGGATGGAGCTGATTCGAGGGTGGCTGATTCAACCTTGGGGGGGGTCCAAGATCGGACGTACTCAAAGATGTGAGCCCCATCTTTTGCTCAACAAATCCTTTCAAGGAGCCCCTTCTGGAGCCCCTCTTCTACCAGTTCAATCTGTTTCGCCAGGTGCAGAGGAGCGGGCCATTGCACATGAGGAGCGCGTGTGCTCCTTGACGTTTCACCCCGACCCTGGTGTCCCCATCGTCGCGGCGGGCGCCGTGAACGGGAAGATCCGCCTCGTGAACACCACGGGCGGTGCCGAGACCGTGGCGCGCGGTGAAGAGGTGGCTACAAGCGCCACGTGGAACGCCGCAGGGGATGCGCTGGCCGTGGGCTGTGAGGGCGGCACCTTGAGAATCTTGTTCTTTAAGAGTGAGGAGAAAGCGAAGAGAGAGGTGATCAAAAAGGAACGCGAGGTCGGACAAGGGTGTGAAGCAAAGCTCAGATGGAGTGATGAGTTGTTGAGTCGGGAGCATTTGCAGGTTATGATCTAGCTGCTTCGCACTTTCACTCTTCTGTTTTACTGCTCCAATGGAACGGAACAGTGGAAGAGCTTTTGTTCACTCATGAGAATTTTCCACCTAAAGGCGTCTCCTTTAGTGACTTCAGTACCCCAAACAAATTGTTTTACGCATTTGTTGCTAATTGGGAAACCATCGCCATCACCGCCCGAGATGCAGACAATTTCTTCACCTCTCCAGCAAAAACAAGACATGCCCAGACACGACTAATGGGACTGCCATAGGACTGCCGACCCCCCTGGCACCACTCCTGGTCGTTTCAGTCCTATGGCAGTCTCATTAGTCGTGTCTGGGCATGTTTTCTAAGGTTCTTCTATCGACAAGTCTCGGGTGAGACCTGCGACAGCACGCCCAAGTTTGAAATCTCCGACAAGCCGGGGAGCTTAAGGAGCTTGAGGAAGCGTCAAGTCAGTCAGTATCTTCACCAGAAGCATGGCAGGTGATTTGAGATGCATGGCACTTTGGTTTGCTTTTCGTCTTTCCAGGGCTTTTCAAGTAATTACATGGCAAAAGGGATGTTATAGATGAACTCAGTACTGTAGTTGTTTAGTAAACATGGTGAAAGCGTGTGCTCCGCAAGCAAATGTTCAATCACTCCCCCTATATAATATTCAAGAGAATTCAATACCACCAGACCCCCTCGTCAATGAGCCGGTTCACTTTGGGTTCCCTTCTACCACATTCTATACCAACCATTTCCACCACACGTTAAGTAGATCACAACCACTCTCCGTCTCGCGTGGAGTCGCTCCGTCTCGGCCGATCTGAGTCGTCGCTCTGAGGATGCACCTTCAAGATTGCCAATATGGTTCGGCTGCCCAGTCGCTTCATCTCGGGACCGGTGCGCTCCCGACCAAACGGAGAGACAGACTGTCGTTGGCCCAAGCGGTCATGTTGGAACACCCGGTGCGACACATGGCGCCACACATGGCGACATGTGTCATGTCACTTGGAGATATTTCATGACTGAACAGGGCCCTAGGGCTCCTGCCCCAGGCCTCTGAACAGAAGGTAGGCACAGATTTTCCTGGCACCCACCCCAACCATTATCTCAGGAGGTAGTTGGAGCCCTAGGGTGATATTTCAGTGCACCTTCAGACAATGACATGTTCAAACAGTTGCGAGTTATATATATATATAGATTGATTGAACTTGCTCGACATGGGTGTCTATAAATAGTCCAATAGGGAGAGTCCCCAACCAAGTCGTTTTGGTCTACTTTCCCTCTTCAGCGGGTCTGTGGTCTGTGGTGTTGCTTTTGCTAATGGGCTTAAAACCGCGCGTGTAGTGAAACTGATTTTTCACACAGTCCTTCCGGGGGGGCAAGAACACACACACAAACACACGCATTGGAATATGGAAGATGGGGACACGGGGGGTTAGGGGGGAGGGGGGGTTGGGTGGGGGGCTAGTGATGTTCATGTTGTGTGCATTTTTATTAGGAAGCCACACACGCACACGCAGGCTGGAATTCTTGTTCTAGTTACAAAGGGGCCCAAAGGGAAATGAGTGGTGATCATTTTCTCGCAGGTGCGTGCAATCTGCGTCCAGATTCCATATCACAGCAAACTTGAAGTGTCTTCGTTGAGCGGTGACTTCAAGAATGCCCACCGCCCCCCTGCTATCAACAGTAGTAAAAAAGTCAGGCATTACATTCCAAAAGGATCCCTGTGACTTCAAGGGGCACACACATTTCGATGTCAAAATCGCAACGATTTTTGAGTCTTTTTCATGTACTACATGCTGCAGCAAACCTTTCACATCAATGCAAAACACAGTCACACACCGGACATTCGTCATCATGGACCACGTGAAGATTTGACAAATGTCTTCAACCGCACGCGCAGAAACGAGCCCGGCGGGTTGTTTTTGTTCTGTATAATTATGTTGTTCTTTCGCTATGTTTCATGCACATGTCACATGTATACATACAGCTATCCAACATGTGTCAGTCTTTGTTGTGCAGATTCCTTTTGATGTACAGTCCTCACTCCTGAAAAATCGTTACCTCCTTTGGTTGCACCAGGTCGCACCTACCGCTTTGATTCCGATTGCAGCCAGGAGCGGGTGAGCCTGTTTTGACCAGAAATCATGAAAACGAAGTGTATACAATATCATACAATAGCTGTAGAATGCTGTAGATAGTACGTAAGGAATGTGAAGGTTCATTTGACAATGTTGCGGATAGTATTATAACCATATTTAATCTCTTCAAAACCGAAGTATCAATCGTTCATAATCATTCACTCACTTCGCTGGATCACGTAAACAAGACCCTGCATAATATATGGAGGCGTTTGGGGCGATATCGGGGGCCGGGGGGTCCCCTATCGACTGTTACGCACCTTGGGTCGGTCGCATGGCCTGTAACAGGCGATGATTATCACGATTTTTAAGGTGTCGGCCTGCAACCAGGCCCCATCATCATCCACTGGGCCCTTGGTAATGGAACATACCGATATAACCAATTATTCAAAGTATTTTATGATGTCCTGTCCGGGCTTTTGGAATTAAAAAATGGAGCCCAAAGGCCACAGACTCCTGACCTATCAGGTCAAAACATGTTAAAACAGATAGGTTTACCTTCAGGTAATCATGTTGATTACCTTCAGCCTGGTCGATGTGCTTTGCTTCTCTTCTCTGGCGGAAAAAGGAAGAGGTCCTTCTCTTCCGCCTTCCCCAAACCTCTTCACGCCCACCTTCACCGAACGAGGAGAGCCTCACGGTAGAGAAGCCGTCCGACTTCTCAGCGGTGCAGCGGTGGGATGGCGGCCGGTTGATCCGAACACCGAGAACACCGCGAGCCGATGGCAACCCCCGAGGTTCGGGTACGACAAGCTTTCCATGAAACAACAGGGGGTTTTCACTTAACCATGTGCGATAGCAGTTTTTCCATGTTTGGCTTTCAAGCTCGCATGACATGTGCACCTGGCCTTTCAGGCCTTGAGCCCCGGCTCGAGCAAGGAAATAAGCTGCTCTGTGCGGCTTCGCTCGCGTTTCGCTTCGTGCCACTTGGTGTGGCATCCACTTCGCCTTCGACTTCGTGGTTCGCTTGGTTGAGGGCACCCCTAAAGCCCTATTTGGCTACCGCATTGGTAGCGGAGCAGTGTTTTATTGTGGGCAGTGCAGATCTTCCTGCTCATCGCTCTTGTTGAGGACTCCGGTGGCCTCTGCGGTTCGAGTACCTCATCACGAAGGGCGGTGGCAAGAGGAAGGGAAGTCCCTCCAACATCTGGGACGACAACGGTGTCTTGGTGGCCTATAGGACTTCTTCACGGTCGAGGTCACGCTCTCCGAGAAGGCCAAACCTCCCCTTTCGGGATCGACACGCCCGACCACTGGCCGAGTTTCCTACCACTGGACCTGAGGCCTACGCCAGGTACCTGGAGGAGGCTCCTGAGGAACGGCAAGATCCTGTGGCGAAGGCGGAACCTTCATCGTCTTCGAGGCCTACAGGACAGCGAGAACCCTGGGCAGGTGTTTTTGGCACTTCGGAGGTGAGTGCACGCTCTCTTCTCCCTGGAGGGCTTGCAGGTGACTTCAAGGCCGAGGTCTCCAAGGACACGGACGACAAAGAGCAGGCCAAGGCAAAGTCTGGTAATTGACCAGGCGCATTTCTCTTGAGGCAACGCCTCGACCCTTTTGTTTGTGGAGCTCTACGTGGGCCCTACGCCAGTTCTTCACCGAGGAGTTCTTCGCGGAGCTCTTCAACTTCTTTTTGCACCTCCTCAACAGAGTTGAGACCTACTTCATTGAGGAGCTCTTCATACCGAGCCCCGACTTCTCCAAGTACACGCATTTTGCTGTACGGCCGCTGCAATGGAAAAGGTTGTGGCTGCAGATTCTTCTGTGCCTTCCTGGGACGGCAACCCCAGGACATGGCGAAGCTTCCAAAAGGAGATTTCATGGTACGCCATGGGATCAAAGCCCGGTGTCCGCAAGTTCCTCGCTCCAAGGGTCCTTGCGAAGCTCAGTGGCCCTGCCCGACTACTTGCCATGGGCTGGGAGCAACAAGAGTTCGTGGGACCTCAAGGACTCCAACGACTGCTGCAGAAGCTCTCCGTGTCGCCCCTGGTGAGGAGAAAGCTTCCAAACACAGCCTCCGTGATGAGTCAATATTTCTCATGTCGGAGAGGAGCCCAAGAATCCATCGCGACCTTCCTGGTCAAAGAGTCACTTCATTTTGAGGAGTTCAAGGAGGCCTTGCAGCTCCTCAAGGATGAACGAAGTGGCCGACCTGAGACCTTCTACATCCCGGAGGATGACGAGGAGGACGACGATGACGAGGACGAGGACAGCCCCAAGAAGGAGAAAGCCTATGAGAAGGTCCCGACTGAGGATCCTGATGATCCACCACCTCGATCTCCGGCTCGTTCAACTCGAAGAGACGCTGGTGAATCCTCTTCGGACATGGACAGCTTCATCCTGGAGCAGCTCCGAGGATGGAGATTGTTGACGGCCGCAGCCCTTTCACCAGAAGAATGGCGCTCAGTTCTGGCCAGCGCCAACAACAAGCTGGACTATGTCTCCGTCGTGTCCGCGCTCGAGATTCTCTACGACGAGCACTTCACGAAACGTCCTGGACAAGTTCATCCTGGTCATCATCAACCTCAGATCTTCAACCTGGAGGAGGACGATGAGTGGAACTATGAATGGGAACCTACTTGGGACTCTTCCTGGATGACACCAGTCACTTGGGATGATTGGGAATGGGATGAACATGGAGGAGAACATGACGCCGCTGGTGATGGTGATGGAGAAGGACCTCAAGGTGACGCCGACGCCATGGCTCTGGACAACGGTCGCTCATGGAGCCAAGCTCAAAGAGCCACGCAGCTCATGAAGAAGGACCGTGGCTTTGGTGCGGCATCTTCATCGGCTTCCACTGGGTGCTTCGTTTGTGGCAGCCATCAACACATGGCCAAGGACTGTCCCGACAGAAACAGTCCAAAAGGGAAAGGAAAACCTAAAGG